TACTGTATAGCAGGAAGGGAAAAGGCTGAGACTGAAAATCTAGAGAAATCTCTACTTTTCATAACAAAAAAAAAAGAGAAAAGAATTCAATCAACATTGGCTTCACTTCTGCCTTCAGAAGAAAAAACAAATGCCTGCTTCAATTTTTTTATCCCCACTTTTTCATTTTTCAGATTTTACTGTAACAAGTAGGCCTTTTATAACAGTGGAGCTAGCTCAGATGAAGCGTTTATTATAAAGCAAATAGCCTCTTACATTAAGCAGCTAATTGTTAGGAGACATAAATTTTCAAATTGATAAAGCATATCTTACTATTTAAAACTTATGTAGGTAAAATCTGCTTCAAAACAGAAGTTCATACTCTGAAATATACTACTCTTTTGAGAATAGAGGAAGAATGTTACATTTTAATGTTTTTATTTTATTTTTGTTTTGCCCAAGAAGAATATGCTGTGAATATTTGGTGTGGGTCATTCAGTTATCTTTTCTCCTTCAGGTAACATGGGCAAAGAGCAGCCAAAAAAGTGGTTGGTACCCTCTCCTTTAACTTTAGGGGTAGCAGAAAACTTGGGACTACAGTGAGACTTTTCCACCATTAATGGTGATGGAGATTTCATGTCCAAAAGTAATTCCAGCAAATCCCACATTCTGTAAACTGTCTCCATTCCCTCCAGACACACTTTGAGGCCAAGTACCCATAGATATTTACTTTTAACTTGGTTTTCCATTATTTCCAACTTTTGTTGAACAACGGCATTTTCTAATTACAGCAGAGATTTTTAAGATGGTCCAATTCAATTCACATCGTATCACGTTGCACTCTAACAGTTTGTAAATTTACCTCTGCTTTTTCCACGTTACCTTCCAATTTTACACCCGTGGGGCAAATATTTCAAGTTTACCTTAATCCTCTCTTTACTGACTTTAATAGGCTGTAAAATAGTTTTAAGAGGAATCTCAAAAGGCTTGTCAGGATTCACCTGGTCCTCAGGCCCTGGAATTCTTTGAGGTAGCAAATGCACTTACTATGGTAAGTAAACAGAGATCACCCTTTCCTTCTACTCTGAGCTAGAATGATACATCTGATACTGAAAACAGAGACAATAAGAAATCCTGGGCAAAGACTATTATAAGAACTTTCTGTATAGTTCGTTGAGAAACCCTTGGAGGGAGGACAGAATGCCATGAGACCTGGACTCAAATCTGAACTCCATCACTTGCTAGCTCAGAGATCATGGGCAAGAAAATGAACCTGTCATGGTTTCCTCATTTGTAACACAGGGAAAAGAATAGGTAGTGCCTACCTTAAGGGTGATAAAGAGGATTAAATGAAATCATGCCTGGCATGTAGTAGCTCATATTTAATGAGTCCTTATTGGCCACAGAACTCTGGGGTTGGGGTTGAATTATCTGCTCCTTTCTCATTTGAATGCTGTCCAATGAGAGACCAGAGCAAGAGCTGGGATAAGTAGCTAGGGATGGTGGAGGGGAATGGGAGAAGATAACAAAATGTTTTCATCTCTTTTCATCAAGCTGTATTTCCCTTTCCCCATCCTATAGAAAAAATAGACTGTAGCACACTTGCAGTAGCCTGTTCTGGGAGCTTGAGTTCATTTTAAAATCTCTTAAAGAAATGCTCCACTGCAAAATGGAACATCTTCTGAAGGGCCAGAGCCCTGTCCAAAGCAGTGGTAGGCACCAGAGCCTTGGTGGCCAGACCAGTGTGCTTGGGGGTGTGTCTGTGACCCGGGAGAAGTGAGGCTCAGAAAAGCACAATTACTGTGTCTTCTTAATTTTCCTTCTAAAGTTATTCGAGGGGACTGTGGTTTTGCTTTGAGCAAAATCCCCTTAACGGCCGGGAATCTAAAAGCAAACAACATTATTTTATTAGGTTACCCTAGCAGATGAAAGCAGAATGTTCCATTTGGACTCTTTTTGGAGTCAATTAATGCATTAGCTAAAAACAAACCCTTTTAAAAGAGAGTTCCCGATGTCTTCAGCAGCTTCCAAGGGAAAGCTTCAGAAACACCGAGGTGAGCTGTAAACAAGTAATACATTCATTGATAAGAACAACTATTGTACTAATACATTTTAACTCCTGCTGGAATGTAAAACTCATCTCAAAGGATGTGATTGTTTTAAAGCTTTATATTTAATCGTGACCAGGGAATTTAAATTTATCTTATAGTTTACATGACAGTACTTGACTCAACTAAGACCAATTTTAAATAGCTCTAGTTGTTTTAAAAAAATATTTATTTATGACTTGTAAATTATCAATACATAAAACTGTGATTATTTTCAGTCATGGTTTTAACTCCAGCAGCAGAAAAGTCCTGTAAAGTAGGAAAATAATGGAGATTACTCATTGGGAAAAAATACATTTCTCAAAAATTTATCCATTCATCCAGCCTTCAAAATAATAACTAGGAGCCTACTCAGAGAATTAGACACACAATCTCAACCCAATTGATCCCAACCTGGATTTTCAAGCTGCAGACTACTACTGTTTTAAGAGATGGAGGTGACAATGCTGTTAGATGCCTCAGACATTAAAGTGAAGCCATGAACTCCCCGTGGTCTTCCTAACATAATCTTTGGTGAGGGTTATTCCTCAAATGTAAAACAAAAGGCACACACCCCTCTGTGGGCAGTACCATTTGTGGAAAGAACATTTCATTGCTCTGACCAGGGAACGTGTCTCTTGAAAATCTTTGGAAAAATACACATCCTGAAAGCATTAGATTACCCTGAATTGAAAATGGGATTTTGCTCAGTGGCAAGGATACAAATTCATCCCCACAAGTATGCTTTCTGCGGTAAAAGGCACATGATGACTTTTAGGGACAGTTTATTTGTAAGGTTGATAAATGGGGCCATAAGATAGGATTCATCAAATTTCGTTTTTGAGGTCTCCTTCCCTTTACCTGAAGCATTCCAGCATGCCTTGCATTCTGAATACCTAGTTGGAGGAGGTTACAGTTTCAAGCACCATTTGTTCCCATTTTGATTTCCCGCTTACTGGATTATATTCTGTTAAACATTTCCAGAAGACTGTCAAAATGTAAGCATCCTGAGGTTTACATAGGCCACACCATTAAATAACATATAAGCACAACATTTTAAACATTGTTTTCCAGCAATGGTAAATATTTTAGTTAAGTAGAAACTAAAGCTTGAAATGCAATAAGCACTTAAATGACTCCTTTCTGTGCCAGAATTCTTATTTTCCCCTGTGCGACCCTGGCTTCTGGGATCAAGGCAACCCCAGGGAGCTCAGCAAATGGTTGTGGGTTACGAGGTGTAGCAGGAGCTTGGCGACAGCATGCCACCCAGCCTCAAGAAACCCAGCCATGACTGGAACCCAAGAATCAGTGTGTTCTCTTTGTGGTCAGCTTCACATTTTTTCCCCTCCTTGAAAAAAAAAAAAAAGCTGCTACAAAAGTCAGACCTTGCTCTCACCCACCCCAAGGAAACATGAGGTGGACCAGGAGCAGAGCGGAGACTCTGGGGTGGGCAGAGCAGGGGAGGCTGGTCCCCTCAGGTGGGCAGGCAGGCAGGCATGCGGGCATGCGGGAGTTACCACCTTCAGTTCCTCATCCCTACGGAGGGAAACGACTCACAGCACCGACAGCAGCCACACCACTAACGACGACAATGGATTGTGCTGTCACTAGAAAGAAGGGAAACCCAGAACAAACTTTACAGTGGTTTTCACCACACGATGATTGCAATCCTGTTCAAGGCATGTCACAGTCACGCCACCCACTGAGCAGAACTCAGAGGGAAATTAGGCCTCCTTCAAAGTCTCCCTAAACGAATAAGGCAAGGATTTTAAGGAAACACAGACTTGGGGCCCTCCCTCCACTGGCTTCCTGGGGCCCCTGGCTTCTTAGTCACTAAAGAGAATCGTTCCCAGCGACTGGCAAGTCTAAGTGAAGCCAGAATGCTCTCTCATTAAATGCAACTGCTCTTCAAGAGGCAGGCAGGGCAATGGACAGTTTATGAGATTTTTGATCAGTGTTTTTACTATGAAAACTTGATCTTCCATAAACTCTCAAGCAAGCGAAGAAAAGGAATGCAGAGATGCAGGGACTTTTCTCCACATTCGAAAAACCAAACCTGTTATGTTTTGTTATGATAACACCATCCACATTTCTAAGACGTATTTGGAGTTCTGTGGCTGGTCTTTGAGATTATTATATAGATATTGATCACTTATCACACTGAATTGGGGGAGGGGATTCCCTTTTGGCTTTTTCAAATAGTCACAGAAGAAGCCATGTTATGTTATCTGACCTGTTTCTAGTGAGGAAGACAAAGCTCTTCACTTCCCTCCTGACCCCTGTCTAAAAAAAAAAAAAAAAAAAAAAATCTACTTATGGCTGGTATTGACTCTTTCCAATTTTAAACTGTAATTTCAAATATCAGCCTGTTGACTTACAGAAACAGAGACCGAAAAATGGCTGTCTGCTATGGATAAAAACTTTGGAGACTCAATATGTTCATATAGACTGCCAATAGATTAATCAGTAGACTCTTTGGAAGCAGGATCACAGTCTAAGAATAGCCCTAAATTCTGTTCAAGACTAGCTTCTTTCCCCAAATCATTACAGTGTTAGCCAATGTTAGATGTAGCGGTACATCGTTTTGGTGTGTGCAAGAGTCAGACTGGATTAGAAAATACAATTGTAATTTCATGCCAGTTTTCATGGCTAACTTAAACTATGTGACTTTCATCATCATGATAAACTGCTGAATGTACTGGAAATGATTAGAACGAAGGTATCAGTTTGCTAGTTCTTTGCTTATCTATGGTTAAATATAGTTTCTTATACTCACTTTGAACCATGAAAATGAGGGAACACATTACCTTGAAAGATACTGAGGATATATCCATGCCAATATCAGTAAAATTCCCCTGAAAATAACACTTAGGCTAATAATGACAATTACTGTAGCCTCTCACCATGCAACGTGCACAAGAGCAAACAACTCAATCACTTTACAAATAGTTTATTTCCACCTTCACAAACTCATGCGCCTCTGACCATTATGCAAGGCACCATGGATTAAATATTTGTATCAGAATATATCTGTCTTACATGATTCAAGATAAAGTGGATTTTAAAAGCAAATGGGTGCCAGTGATGGGGAGATGAGGGGAATGGGGCAGACAGCAATAGGGTAACATGCATTTTTCAAGAGTGTTTATTAAAACAGGCAGTAATCAGTACATGTGCATCACATGAGCAGTTTTTCAAAATTAATATTTCCAGGAGAGGGGCTACATCTCAGTTTTTCTGTCTATATAATAAAATGCCAAAAGTACTTCCCTAAAGTACAAAGGCATTTCCCTAGTGGTAGTCTTGGTACCAGTAACAGAATATGATTACTAAACATCTTCAATGTGGTTTTCATTACAAAGAAGCATGTTTCACATAAAACCTTCATAATATAATCCAGAGAAAGAATTTGTGCCAGGCTGAATATTTCTGACATATATTTTTTCATTTCTTCCAGTGTTTTTATTTTTATAAACATGCATCCAGCTTCCTACCAGTTTAAAACACACACACAGAATACTGCTTGGAGCACCGTGATTGCCTTACAGTAGCCTTTTTGGGACTACAATCCTAGTTCAAGGAGGGGAGTAGTAATTTCTATTCTGACTTGCTCCTTTCCCCAAATCATGTTAGTGTTGACCAAATCCCAGCAATTGTCAGATGCAAAGGTTTCTGGGAAGAGGGCCAAAGAATCATTATGAATAATTTTACAATGATCTGGTTAAGAAAACACACAGAAAATAAATGATTTCATATGATAAAAAGCCTGGGCTTGAATTTGAACAAGAGATGGATGTGAAAGGTATGAAGTGTTGCTTCACTCCCAGGAGATGTTCTTTACTGTAGTACCCACAAAAAGACAGCACTATCCCAGGGCTGGTCTTTCTATGGGCCTCCACCAATAGCCTTTGAGGTAGATGCTGACGGCTTGAAGAGAGGTAGGTAAAGTCCAAATTTGTTTTCAATCCCTGCAAATGTAGCAACTGCCAGTTTGTAGCCCCCAACGTGATCAGGATTCGGGGCAGGCAGGTTGATCCTGGATTTAGGAACTGGCTCTGATCCCATGGGTTTTCTAAAAGAAGAGAAACAAGAGTAAGAAGCTGAGTTTTGTGTTTGTTTTGTTTTTAACTTGATAAAAATAACATTCAAAAGCCTGTTCAAATATGTAACGTAAAGGGGTTGATACATTCTAATCAGTTTATGTTCCCCTTGGAAATGACCTTGTTAACATGATTTTGACATTTCCCTAAATCTCTTCTATTTTATTATAGAGACTACACTAATGTACCTTTCTCCATGATGACAGAGTATTAGAAGCAGCCAAAATTTAGCAGCAGATTTGGCATTATACTTACACTCCTCCAAAATCAATGTAGAACCATCGTTGTAGCAATTCATAAGTCAGCAAAGTTACGCCAAACTGGGGTGAGGATCGAAATACACGAGCTTTAAAAAAATGGGGAAATCACAGATATAATTAGATTTTTAAAAAATTTACCTGATACCAAAGGGTTAGTTAAGAACAAATTATTTCCATACCACCAGCTCCTTTCCACAGAGCTTTTGGGCCTTCTTCCCGCAGTATCTTTCTAAAGCAGTCTATCACTCCGCTGTAAGTGGTTTGGCCAGCCCGGGCAGCCACCTGTAATCTCGTCTTGATAACATCAGCAGGGGTCACTAAAGATGCCGCAGGCATACCTGTAGGAGAGACACAACACCATCTCAGTCTGGTCACATTCTCACTATATAAAAATAACTGTGCTTTGAACTGCTGGCCGTGGAAAGAAAGTTAAAAATCTGATGCAATAAAATGCCTATTTCACTGTCCTCCACGGGAAGGGAGCACAACTGTGACTCTCTTGTGTGCAAGGATGGCCGCTCCTATACCCCTCCCCACCCAACACACACCTTCCTTCCCAAATCGCTCAGCCTTCATCTCCTTTGTTTCTATTCTTAAATCTTTAAATATTTTAAAGAAATTGTTTATCAATAACACGACTTCAAGTGGTTGAGAATAAGTGGAGAAAGTGGTTTTTCTTTTCTTTTTTTTTCTTTCCTGTTGAAATCAAAATCTTGCAAAGTTATTAGGTCCGATTTTTCAGAGGTGAAGCTTGTTATGTGCTTCCTCTTCATGGTCTTATGTGGCTGCTGGCAGTGACAGGAGGTGCTTTCTCTCATACATTCAACCACCCCCTACTCTCCAAACCCCAACCTCTCCAGTTACACCAGAAAAAGACTTTACTGATAGCTGAAAAAACACTGTGTGTGTGTTGGGGGGTGGGAGGTGGAGGTTGTGGGGAGAGGGGTGAAATTGGGAGAAGGAGACTCCTACAGATAACACTTAAGGATTTCTTTTTCCTAAGACTGACATCTCCAGAAAAATATTTGACAGAGAGCTTAAAATTTATACTGGCTCATAATCAATGAAAAAGGAACAACAACAACAGAAAACCCTCCCAAAGTTACCAATGGGAAATTTTTCTACAGTCACTGTATCCAAAATGGGGCAGCCCATGTTTAGATTTTTTAAAAGCGAGACTGTACTCAGAAGACACTGTCTCTTATGGTTTTATTACTTTTCCATTATGAACCTATTCCAAACCAAATTGGTCAAATGCAGATGCATAAATCTCCTTTGCTTTTTTTAAGGCTTAATAATTCTGTAAGAATTTCTGTCCAAACCAACATGGTCTGGCTCACAACTACATTTCATCCTTCTAACAGACAGCTTTAAAGTTACAGTGAGTTGGAAGGCGGGGGTGTAAATCTGCATACTACATGCTTGCATTTATATTACTCAAGGAGAATCTCTTCCATCTTTATCTAGCTCCTCAAACATTAACCTCAAGAGATTTTATAAAATGCATCACAATTCCGCTGCAAAAAGCTTACTTTATTATATCAAATGCTTCACTGGATAAGTCACACTGAAATTCCTATTCGTTTGTAGGAATTATTCTAACTTTGGGCCAGGAATTTATCCTCCAACATAATGGAAGGAAACATGAAAAATGCTTAGAAACCCACTGTGTTCACACCACTGATTTTGTTTTACTTCCTGGTTTAGAAAGAGTTTAGCAAGACAGCCTGCTTTAGACATGAAATAAAATCCGCCTTGCAATGGTGGGCAAGCATATCACAGTGTGACTGTGAAAGACATAAAAGCAACAAAATGGTCAAAAAGTTCCCTTTGGCCAGGGTACTTTTCATAAACTGTTCTTGGTTATGAAAACAGAGATATTGAGGGTGGAGGGAGCAGGTATGAAAGAACACTGATTAGTGGAATACAAAAATGTCAAAAGAAACAGATATGCCACTTACTAAGTTGCCTGGCAAAACTGATAGGAGTTGTGGGGGCTGCTGGAATATGGCGACTTGAACATAACTCCCATCATCTCCATTGTCAGCTCCCATCTCTCCTAGGCAGGTATCTGGTAGGGCCTAAAAGGAATCGTGGATCTCTTGGTGGACAGGAGATTTCCAGTGTGGGGATTTGCCAAGTTAACCTGGAGAACTGCACCAGGCTGCCTTAAAGCAAGGCCAGGAAAGCAGCAGATACTGGCAAGAGCTTGGTCACCAGAGAGCTGCCAATTTTGGGGGACAGGGTTGGCAAGGACACCTGGCAGATCTGCCTACTCTCTTCTGGATTCCAAAAGGCTAAGACAGTGCTGATCAAGTGGTCTGAATTTTCTCTATTCCTAAAGACAGAGGAGCAAGAGGAGACTGCGAAATGAGATGCTTTCTCTAGGTCCCTCAGCAGGAAAGGGACTCGTAGCTAGCTTGATTCTCCAATGACAAGACAAATATAGAGACCCGGGGGTCGTCCACCACCTCTGTGACAAGAGTAACTTGGGGCATGTCTCAACCAATTAAAAAATTACAAGTCTTCAAACAGGGACTTAGCTAGAGTAGAATATCATTTACAACAAAAAGAAAACATGACTGGCACAATACAGCTTTAGGGCACAAGTCACTGTTAATTTTTATAAATATCCCATTTGTATTTATAAGAAAAGTGCTTTTCTTTTTATTGAATACAAAGGTTAATATCTATTTATTTTGGATCAAGGCTGTTTTCCAAATCCCCTTTGCATCTCTATCTATATTATCTACTTCATATGTCAGCTTCTAAAAGCAGTGTGACACAGTTTTTCATTAGGGATGAGAAAATATCACATTTTCTTCATACTTTTTAGCTGAGAGAAGACATTATATATTGACATTACATAGAAGTTGATGGCATCTTCAGATAGTGAATTTTACCTTTTATAAAATATGCCTCTGTGCTTCTAAACACTATTTTGAAACCCTGTGTTCCATTTAGTATGGCATTAATATTGTTACTTGCTTATGGTTGATATTTGTCTGGGACATATTTTTCAATCAGTTGTCTTTCAGTCTTTCTATGACACTTTTCTGAAACTTCTTATGACTAGATTTTCTTTCAAAACTCATCTCAAAGTGTTTGTTATTACTAGCGGTACTGAATTCATTTACAGTGCTTGTGGATATTAGACTTATTTCTGCCATCCGATGCTTTTTCTCTGCTTCCAGTTATTTCCCTTTTGATCCCCACCGCTTCCCTGACTAAATATAAACATTACATGCATTTGTTACATAGGTGTACATTTACAACGTGTGGAACTAATTAGCATTTGCATCCTCCAGCAAGGAGAGGACTTTGACGCACTGGCACTTTTGTCCTTCATTTGTCAGCCTCCCCAAAACCAACCATTCGTGCATGAACACATAAGTCAGCAATAACGGAGACCTGCCACAGGTTTAACTTCTATTTGCTGTTTCATATATCTCATCCCACATTTTCTTCCTTCTTAAATTCAATTTTTAATTGCTTCAGAGAAGGTCTGTTGGGAAGAAAGCTTTGAGTCTTTGCATATGAAAAACTAACTTTAGATTTGCCCTCCCCCTCCTGTGTGTTAGTGTGCCCAGGAACATAATTACCACTCAAGGCATCTTATCCTTGGGATTTTCAAAGTATCCAGTATTACAGATAAGAAGACGAGAAGTCAATCTTCTACTACTGATTTGTTTTCTATTCTCCTTTTTCTTACTACTTTTCCCTAGGGAACTCCTATGTAACAGATGTTAGACTTCCAGGATTAATTCTACCAGTATCTCCAATTTTCTCATTTTCTATCTCTATATTATTGCTACATATTACATTCTACAGTGTTTTCTTTTTCATTTCTTTATTTTCCAGATGTCTAAATTTGGTCTTTGATCATATCCATTCTATCATTCAGAACTACTTCTTGATATTTAATTATGGCAATCTTTTTATTACTTTTCAAGAAAGCTTCTTTGCTGATTATTTCTTTCAAATCTGAGGACTCTAATTATATTAATTAATTATAGTTCTTAAAAGTTGTCTTCTGTCCCCTGAATTGCCTGTTTTCTCTCTAATTCTTCTGTTCACTTACATTGTTGTTCCTTCATGTCTGAGGACCTCTGGCTGTCTATTGATATTATTCTTGTTCAAAGGACAGGAGATTAGTATTAGATACAAATGTTGTGGGTGAGTTCTACCATACTCTAGGTAAGCTTCACCACAGGTCTCTCTCCTGAACAGAAGGGTCATCTATGGGCTTTTTATAACTGGGTGCAAGGAGTTAGGATAGGCTGGCAGGGTGTGAAACTTCCAAACTGCTGAAATGTAGAGAACTTCACTTTGGGGGTAGAATAATTTATTTTAAATTTAAATTCTTCTTGGGAAGAGCTGCCATCAGTTTATTTTTTCCTACATCTATGGTAAAGGTCTGGAATTACCTTAAGTTCTGCCCTGCTTTCTGTGCATTCCTTATATTTATCCTCTCTAGGGAAGTGATTTCTTTCTTTAGAATTCAGCTCTGAGCTTTTAACTTGGATACAACTGTCTCCTGAAGCTCCATATGAAAACCAGGAGAGCATCAAGCCTGGCAAAAAGTGTAGTTCACTAACTCATGTTAGTGATTTACCCTAAAACCTCCACCTCCACTCCAAGCATTCTATTCTTCACTCAAAGGTTAACATTCTCTGGTTATGCTTTTGCATTAGAGGTAGTTTCTCCTGCTGTATTTTGGACTGTGGCATCTCTCAGTCCAGTTTAAGTCAATATGGCTATTTCCTGTCTACTGAGGACCAGTGCTAACATTTTCTAGTGCCAATAAGGCATTTTTAAAAAAAGCTCTTCCTGACATTTTAAGGCATTTGGGAAGATAGGCGAGATGGATGAATATGCTCAGTCCATTGTCTTGATCCAATTTCTCCATTTTTTTTTTTTAAGGATTTAAGGACTGCTTTTAAACTATTATAACTTAGGCTTTATGTCCACATAATTAACAAATTTGTACCAAGAGTACTTTTCTCATAACACACAATCTAATGTTTGCAAAAGCATCATGATCACACATGCATAACACACTTCCACTTCTGTGTATTGGAACAGCTTTTAAAGATATTTCTGTATTACAACTTAATGTCAAGCTAATTAATTAAAAGGTGAGACCATCACTACAGTTTGACCTGCTCCTCTATCTTACCACTCTGATAAGAATCATCTGGTATCATAGAGGAGTCTATAAATTTTAGTAGTATTAGATGTATTTTATTTGGTATTATTCATAAGGCATATTGAAATGCCCTACATTAATGAAAAAGCACCATGTTAATTATAGAGAATTAGAATTTGATTTCTTAAATTTCAGGATCCCTGCTTTGGTCTTCACTTTCTAACAAAGCTGAGGTTCTTTGGCCAATGAACATGAATTCAAAAGTTGGTTAGTTTTGTTCTATCCTGTGAAATAAGGGAGTAGATGTTCCAGTATTTAAATATAGTCCCAGTTTATAACTAGATACGTAAACTAAAAAACAAACAAACAAAAACCAAAATGACCAAAACCCCATAGTCTCTAGGTGAGGGTACTAATAACCACTTTTGCTAAAGGCTACATATAATGAAAACAATCTAACCTCAAGAATAATCAAATTTTTAGAAAGAAAAAAGTGAATAATTGAAATTACTACAAAACATAGAAAGTGTGGTCATATTCATTTAATCACAGATCTGTATTATTTATAACAGGCTGATGTTCAGCAAAAAATATTTTCTGTATAAGTGATCAATTTTTAAACATGGTACAAATAAAAATAGTCATGAGACATTTTTGTTTTATAAGTTAGGAGCCAATAATTATTCATTGTAGTTGCCTGAAACTCCATCTAAAAAAGGAGGATTTTTATATTTTGAAAGAAGCTTTTCTCCTAGTACTTTCTGGGATTCTCTGAATACCATGTATCCTCTCCCTAGGAAATGCCTTTGCTTTTCTTAGTAACCACGAAGTGAATGTGGGGACCTGATCTATCCTTCCCCCAACAGCCCATTGAGGGTCAGCACACTTTGGTGCCTGCTTACTGCCCTTCTTGGGGTCGCACAGGGCACAGAAGTCTGCTTGCCCTTCTTCACGCTGAACTTAGCTCTGCCTGAGCATCCCAGCAAGGTTCCACACTCAGCCCTGCTCACATCATGACAACACTCCTGTTCACTGAATATAGATATTTTTATATTTACCTTATAACAAAATGCATTATTAATCTTTTTTTAACTAATTCTAATATATTTCTTAGATATTTTCATTTTGATTTTCAGGTAAACAATCAAATATAAATAATGATTGCTTCCTTTCTTCTTTTATTTATAGCTTTTTTGCTTTTTTATTTTACCATGCTGACTGGAATCTCCAAAATAAGGCTGAATAACAAAGATGAGAGAGGCATCCTTGTTTTATTCCTAACTTTAACTGGACTGGTAGCTATGACATTGGCCACTGGCTTCTGATATCTGTTACTAAATTAAGAAAGTAGCTTACTTCACATTATACAAAAGACCATCAAGCTTTGTAGCTTATTCACGCTTTGAAGACTAAAATCAACAGGGCAAATTCGGTCTTTTCCCATTTTACCAGAAAGGGGGAATCAGGAGGAAGGTGGATAATAATAGTCAATGCTCTTCAGGATAAACACCTAACATATGCAGGACTTAAAACCTAGATGATGGGTTGATGGGTGCTGCAAACCACCATGGCACATGTATGCCTATGTAACAAACCTGCATGTTCTGCACATGTATCCCAGAACTTAAAGTATTAAAAAAAAAAACAAAAAAAAAGTCAGTGCGCTATACTAAGTGTGGCAGCTAGCTCCCCAAATGGCCCTCAAGGATCTGCACTGATGACATTCATGCCTCTGCTTCTCTGTCATCTTGAGGCGAAGTCATAGAAGACACTACAGCTTCCACCTTGCTTTCTCTCTCTCTCCCAGACTTTGCTCTGGGGAAGTCAGCGCCCATGTTGTGAGGATATCCAAGCTGACCTATGGAGAGGACCACATGGCAAGGAACTGAGGTCTCCTCTAAATAGCTGTGTCCCTGAGCCATCTTGAAAGTGGCTTCTCCAATGTCAGTCAAGCCTGGCTGCCATTGTGACTGCAACTTCATGACAGACCTGGAGCCAGAGGCAGCCAGTGAGCTGCTCCCACCCCACACCTGTTTCCTGACTCAAAGAAACTGTGAGAAAATAAATATTAGTTGTGTTAAGCTGATGAAGTTTTGAGGGAATTTGGCATGCAATAATAGATAACGAATACAGAAGGCATTTATAAAGACAACAGGATGGCGAGAGGGCTGAACTAACATCAGCATAGGTATGTCAACAACTTCAAACTCTCAAGAATAATGGGCAATGGCTGAAAAACAACCATACTTTTTACCAGCAAACTCCCTTCAAATAATCTATTTCTCTTAAAAAAAAAAAAAAAATTCAAAGTAAGGGAAAAGCCTTTAAGCATACTACCAGCTATTTAAAATTTTTTGGAAAAAAAAATATCTAAAATTGAGAAACAGATAAGATGCAGCAATTAGAAACTATGTTTGGAAAGCTTTAAATAATATAGAATAAATTACTATTATTATTGAATACTTAGTATATAGCAGGCACTATTTTAGATCTTTACATCTATTGAATCACTTAATCCTCAGAATAATCTTGTAAAGTAAGATTATTCTTATCTCCAAATGCAGGTGGAAAAATGGCAGAGACGGACTGACAAGCGTGTGGAGCTCACACAGAGTGGAAACACTGGATTTGCACTTGGGTAGTCCAACTCCACAAGCATGTGTCATTAACTGCTTTGTTATGATGGGTAACAATGCTTAAGATCCAACGCTAAGTGAAAACTGTTTACACAAAGTGTAAATGGGGGGAAATGAGCAAAAATGTTAAACAATGATTATCTTAGAGTAATAAAATAATAAATAATATTTTTGTTATTTGCCTGTTCTAATACTTTCCAAATATTTTGTAATGAGTGATATTACTTTCAAAATCATTTTAAAAAGGAAGAAAATGTACCTTAAACACAAGAAATCTCACCAGCCATTTTATAACTCTTGTAGTATGGATTACCCTCCAGAGATAAAAATCGTTTCTGGGTAGCCGTCTTCTCCAAGAGAAGAGTTAAAAATGATATTTTTATGGTGTGAGGAAAATGAGGCTTAGGAAAGAGTCCTGGACCTTGATCTGAGCTCTACTACTTAACTTCTAATTTCACAGTTTATTTTTTGGAGTGATTGAGAGACAGATTCTTTTGGATTCAATATAATACTTGGCTAATGTTTACTGAAGATTTACTATATGCTAAGAACGATGCCAAGTCTTTCACAAGGATGCTCTCATTTGGGCCTCACACACACTCTGTAGTAGGTACAGTTATGATCTCCATTTATGGCTGAGGAAACCAAGGCTTATGAGAAGTGAAGTAACTTGCCCACGGTCACACACTAATAAGCAGTACTTAGTTATTCTCATTAGATCCTACTTTATTTCAAGGAAATAATTTCAAATAAATTATAACCCTTTGATTCAAAACATTTTCTCATTTACACATATATGAGAAATGACATATAGGCCACCATGAATCAAGCTAGAATTAAAATTGGGAATTTTATACTCAAGTCCTGAAATCATGATTTCTTGATACAGATACAGTGGTATCATTGCTGCTAATATAACTGGGGTTTCCAAGAAGCCAGGAAAGAGCAACCCTGCCTTATATACCAGTATCACTGCCTTTGAAGAAAAGGGATTAAGAATTAAGGAGAAGCTACACAGGTTCCTGTGTCCAAGGGTTCCCCAAGCTGTAGCCAGGGTAAGTGGGGTGTGCACAAAACAGCAAACAACTTCCCAAAGCTGGGAGTTGTTCTCATGCTGTCTTTGAGAAAAGCATGGAGACTAGTTACATATCCGATGAGAGTAGCACAGGTATCAAAAAGTTTGCATCCAGGCATCCTGGACCACCTCAGAGTTTGTTAACTCATTAAATGTGACCACTTGGAGAGTTAATCCAGATTGTTCCTGCTTTTGGGGTCCCTGGACAAGAAGGAGCAGCAAAGAATGAACTGATCCCTGGCATGGCTAAGTATTTTCTATTGATGTTTTCAATGGAGCACTGAAAAAGAGAAGATAGTTATTTCCATCTGTGATTTAATTACCACCATCCCCCCATAACACAAGGAGGAAACAGGTGTCTCTAATTGGCCCAGTTCTTTTCTGGTTCTACTACATTTCTTTTCTCTATTATTTAAGTTCTGGACACGCTTTTATGCACTATTTTGTTTAGACATCTTTATGATACACGTATTCAAATCTTTAAAAACTTCTGGCTAAACAGTTATCATTCTTATGCTATGCAGTGAGACTATGAAATGATATGGAACTTGAATTGGAGCTCCACATACCACAAAGTAAGCCAAGATTTAGTGAGCCTTTTCTAGAGTTAAGAAATTAAGCTTTTCTAATAATCTCATCTGCCAGAATGAAGGTTAATTTTTTTCCTTTTTTTTAGTAGTTCTTCAGAGCAATCTCTAGCCGACTTACATGCACCCTGTCCAGAACATTCAGCAAAAAATTTCACTGTAGTAGCATGCAGCTGGGGAAGGGGGCGACAAGGGTTGGGGAAATAACAGAACTCCATGGGGGACACTCACCAGCTATGGCACCAGCTAAGAGCAGGCTTCCTGGGCTAACCTGCCCATCTTCATTTGCAAAGGAAGCCTTCACATGAGCATAGCATGGAAAGTAGATGGCCGAGAAAGGAATGTCCCGCAGAAAGCATGCTTTGGCACCCTGCACATTTGCAAAGGAAGAAAAACCACATGAAACACATATCCCATTGAGGAGATCAAGCTTCTTTGGAACTCACCTCAGAACAAAATATTCCTGGAGAAGACCAAATTTGTACTCACACTTTGAAAGGGGAACAGAAAAAAATAACCCAAATTCTCCAAGTAATACATCTAAACTTTGTTTTTATAACAAAAACTAGTTTTGTTGTGTGCTGGGAGGAAGGAGGGTGGTGGTTCTCATTTATTCTAATACTAAAACTTCAATTAAAACCTTATTGGAACTCTGCCTGTGACATCCTTTTAAATCCCTATTGGTGGCAAGTCACTAGCATTTCGAGAAAGATCTGTTCTCTGGTCTGACCAAAGATGGGTAACAGCAGTCAAGATGCCTCTTTGTTTACACATTAGGAAGTAGACAAATTACATAGGTGGAGGGAAAAGGGGTTTGCTTTTTGTATTGTTTGTAATCTTTCCCAGAAAGAAATTACACATACATAAAAAATTATATCTTTGCAGGGAGTTCTTGGATCCTTCTAATTTACTTACATACTTACTTACTTGCCACCCAGGGTTTATGAAACATTGATAAATACCTGCTCTAAAGCCTTGAAATATTCATAATAATCTGGATACATTTTAGAGCTGTGTGTAGAACAATCAATCAGTTCCTACAGCAAAGTCTTTAACAAATAGTTTCGGTTGCCAACATAATGCCTTGCAGAGGCCCAATGAATTGATGAGTGCCCAGAAATATAATATATTATAATGAAAACCACAACACATATATGGTGTTTTAGATAGGCTGAATGGGAAGGAAATCATCCCTTTTCAACAAGCAATGATTTAATAACATTTCTTTCACAGATTTCTAATAACTAAAAATTTCCACCAGATACAGAGATTCCCAAAAGAAAATAATGAATCCACCCAGAGTCAACAGATCTAGCCACACCCAGTGACATTTACTGAGGCCTAGTAATGCTGGATCTTCGGTATTTCTGACTGATGCTCCAAACTGTCAAAGTTCTTTAACACTACATATCTGTTACTGCAGCCTTTGTTTTCCTGACACCCACATCTCACTCCTGACTCAAACTCAGCTTGTGGGTACTAAAACCCTTAGTCTTTTTTCATATGAACTACTATTAATGCAAGTCTACTATAACTTAACCTGATGTCCTGCCTGACACAAGTAACACAGGCAGGACATCAGATTTAATCCTATTAAGTTGCATCCTAGTTTGGCTCATCCTTCCAACCAGAACAAATGCTTGGAATCTGGATTCTGTCATGTTGACTATTTCTCAGTCAACTCACCCATGGATGCATAAGTATGCCTCTGTTTAGTCTGTGTACACAGGTATTCAAAGAAGCACTCATCTACCTCATATACTGCCTACCGGCTCAGACTTCTGTATCTTGCCCACTCCCAAACCGTTATATGGTTAATTAAATTTAGAATCACGGCCAAGCGCAATGGCTCACATCTGTAATCCCAGCACTTTGGTAGGCCAAGGCCGGCAAATCATGAGGTCAGGAGAAACCCCGTCTCTACTAAAAAATACAAAAATTAGCTGGGCGTGGTGCCATGTGCATGTAATCCCAGCTACTCGGAGGCCAAGGCAGGAGAATCGCTTGAGTTGGAGGTTACAGTGAGCTGAGATTGCACTACTGCACTCCAACCTGGCGACAGAGCGAGACTCTGTGTCAACAAAAAATAAAACAAACAAACAAAAAGAATGATGACAACATCCACTGCACCCAAGCTACTCATATTAGGCATCTGCAAACTAATGTCCTGTACAGGTAATCTATCAATGGCACATTTACTGAGGGCTATGCCCTTGGCTTGTTCAGAGGGCACCCTGGATGTGGTTCCAGAGACAAGTCCAAAACTCAGGACTCTAAGAGTTTTTTCCACTTCTCCCAGCCCTTTCAAAAGGAAGAAGTACAGTATTAATGTTAGCATCTGTGTCTAATATCCAATCCTTTTCTTACAATGTTTTTTTTAAAGTTATAATTCGGGCAGTTATTGTGCAAGGGTAACAGTATTACTATTTAGTTTGCTTTTCCTTCCTTTTCCCTTTTTGTCCCCAAGCTTTCTCTTAAGTGTTGCTAGCTATTCACCCATATGTAGACTCAGTCAAGAAGATACTCAATTTAGACATCAAATAATCAACTCAAATGACAATCACTTAAATCTCAGGTCTGGCTCCCTCAGTATAGTAAAAAATCTCCATATCCAGGTACCAAGGAGGCTGAGGCAGGAGAATTGCTTGAACCCAGGAGGCGGAGGTTGCAGTGAGCTGAGATCGTGTTACTGCACTCCAGCCTGGTGCCTGGCGACAGAGCGAGACTCTGTCTCAAAAAAAAAAAAAAAAAAAAAAATCCATATTACTGACTTCCTAAAAAAAATCACTTTGGAATAATTTTTTAGGTTGGTATAATTCTTCCCACAAATTTTGCTTCATACTCTATTAGTTTTTACCTTCAACCACATTTCCCAATGTTTGCATCTTACAGCCAAGCTTTAGTCTGTGCTCTCATTTTCTTTGCTGGTATTTTCCCTTTTAAGATTTTTTTCCTTATTATAAGATACTGAGTACTTATTATAGAACAGACAGAAAAGCATTAAAAGTTTTAGTTGCTCATAATTTTCAACAGCCAGAGATAACCTCTACAAGTACTGTAAATGTATTGGAGCATTTCCATCAATAGAAATATTAATGACCATTCCATAGATAAGAACATGCTTGAGCGGTTCTGGGTTATGGTTTTTCTTCTTAAATACATAGTGTATGTTTTTTGTTTGTTTTGGGTTTTTTGGGGGGCCATTTTGGTATTATGATCTAATACCTCTTTTCTTAGCCAATTTGCCTAAATTTCGTTTCTATTCATTGTTTCAAAATAAATACTGCACTCTTTGGTCCTGGCTGTCATGTAGATTAGGCCCAATATGCCCACTCTTACCAAAGCTTTGTAAGGCCTTCACTTTCCCAGTTTCCTCTCTCTGGCCAGCCTGATGCTTTCCCCATAAAGCTACTCAATGCCCCATTCATCTAATCAATCAAGGCACACCTGTCACTCTACATCTTCTTTGATGACTGTTAAGCTGGGAACATTAACCTTTTAAATACTACCTCTTCATTCATTTCAACCCCAAATACCACCCTTTCCACTGAGGATCTTTTAACCAGAAGATAGACAAAAAGTAGATTCTACATTGCTCCACATTATCTACCCTTTCTTAATACTATTCTGAATCTTCTTCATGCCCCTGCATCTGCCACATCTGCCTATGTCAGTGTTCTCTATTTCAGAGTGTAAACAACCAGGGACCAGAAACTATTGTCTGATTTCATTTATAAAATACTTGGCAAAATTTGTGGCTTGCAGTGGAGTCTAAGACATGTTACTAATGACACAGATTTTGCTTTGCTAATTCTGGAAAAAAAAAAACCCACACCTAAAAAGAGAAATACGAGGCTTTGGGATATGTTGTCGGATTTCTGTAAGAAAATTAACGTGGCCAGGCATACTGTGGCTCCTGTCTGTAATCTCAACACGAGGAGGCCAAGGTGGGCAGACCACTTGAGTCAGGAGTTCAAGACCAGCCTGGTCAACATAGTAAAACCCCATCTCTACTAAAAATACAAAAATTAGCTGGTGTGATGATGGGTGGCCGTAATCACAGCTACTTGGGAGGCTAAGGCAGGAGAATCGCTTGAGTCCAGGAGGTGGAGGTCGCAGTGAGCTGGGATCGCTCCATTGCACTCCAGCCAGGGCAACAAAGTAAGACTCCGTATTAATAAAATAAATAAATAAAATAACATTAACTTATTTCTTGGAAAAATATATCAGAAACTAAAACCAAGCTTTTAGCTTTATTTATTTATTTAGTTAGTTATTTATTGAGGTGGAGTTTCGCTCTTGTTGCCCAGGCTGGAGTGCAGTGGCACAATGTTGGCTCACTGTAAGGTCTGCCTCTTGGATTCCAGCAAATCTCCTGCCTGAGACTCCCGAGTAGCTGGGATTACAGGCACCTGCCACCACACCTGGCTAATTTTTTGTATTTTTAGTAGAGATGGGGTTTCGCCATGTTGGGCAGGCTGGTTTCGAACTCCTGACCTCAGGTGATCCACTGGTCTCGGCCTCCCAAAGTGCTGGGATTACAGGCATGAGCCACCGCATCTGGACACTTTTAGCTTTTCAAAAAAAGATATATTATTTGTTGGAGAAATAAGAAAATATAGGAGGAAACAGACACTAATTTTGTACTGAAACATTAAAGTTAAAAAAAGGGGATGAGGGGAGAAGGAAAAACAGATTAACCTGTCTTATGCTATGTGGCTTCACTATGATCAGAAGGCCAAGGGAAGACATGACCTGAAATTATAAACATCCCTGACACACAGCAAGAGTAAAGGCACATGAAGAATCAGCTGGATTTCTTGTGGGCGGAACCCACAAGTGTTCCACCTTCTTAGAGCCTCCGCCTTCTTCCTTGCCTGAAATCATGACAGTCATCATGTATCCCTGTTACAGAGGCATCTACAAGAGATGTGAGATGTACTTCAGGAGATGCTGGAAAACACCTCTACATGGCTGAGAAGAAAAATGGCTTGATCAAAAACAAAATATACAAACACTTTAATATCTCTCTCTATAAAACCCCGAGAAAAGGGTAGAACTGCCTTGTGCAACACTAAAGGAAAAATGCCTAGAAATAGGTTGTATTTCATTTTCCAGGAATCAAGCAATGTGGTCAAAGTGTTTATGGAGACTAGAACAAATGTTAGGATATGTAAGACGTTTTTGGTGCCTGATTATCTGAGGAAAAGGAAGAAATGGAAAAGTCAAGGAAGCAAAAGAACTTTCACCCGGTATGATTATCCTGTCACCCCACCCATGTGATAAGCATTTGTAGAAATCAACACCAGAACCTTCCTCAGCTGACAAAAATACCAAAGGCCACCTTCTTCAGGTGACTGGGGCAACTGA